CCCTTTGCAAGGCCTTGCAAGGGTATCTTAGCGCCTAAGAGTAGGCAATGTTTTTTTTTTGATAAGATCAACTTTTGCCTGGCACTCGCTCTTTTCGTGTGTGTTAATGTAGTGTTCTTTGGGGGAATGGTTAGCTGTGGCTTGAACACACACTTGTTGAGAAAGTAACTAAGCACACACACACATTAAGATTTCCCACACACACACACACATAGTCAGTTGAGGGCGTGCTAAAAAAAAGTTTTCATAATTGACGACAGGATCCATTCCCCCTAGCCGCATACCACTTTCTCTCGTTGTGTTCCCTCTTTTCATGACGATGACGATGGCGATGATGATGGCGATGATGATGACAATGATGATGATGATGATGACTATGGGCAAATATTTTACGTCATTAATTAGCGCATGGCAGCGCGCTTGAAACTATTACGTAATGCGATAACACCAGCAACAACAGCATAAACTATTATGGTGCAAAATTTTTAATGACGTTAGAGGGTGGGCTTACAAAGGGATTCCAGGATACAAAAAGACAACAAAAAAAACCCGAGGAAGACACACAAACACGCACACACACACAGAAAAGAACATTGTTCGAGGCATTTGCATTTCTCATATATAAATATAATTTTGTGTTCATTTTTTAAATGCTCTTCTTTGAGGTTTACAAATATATGTGATTGGAAATGAATTTGCTTATCATTTGGTATCATTCATCATCATTCATCATTTTGGTTATCTTTTCTAGATTAACATTTATGGTAACTCTTAGCTGCCTAGCTAGTTTAAACTTTTAGTACCTTGTTAGGAAAATGTTAAGATCTTTAAGATCCATAAGTGATTTTCCTAATGGAGTTTGGTTAAAGTTCATATATTTCTTGAATTTTAATCTATTTTCCCGCTCCTACCCCTACCATTACGTTTAATCTGAAAAAAAAAAACTATCTTTAACCTTCTTTCAAAAGAGCATTTCGAATTTGCCTTGCCAAAGTTGGTCTTTTCTTTAGTTTACTTTTTCGGTTTCTTTTCGCTGTTATTTTTGATGCCCTTATAATTAAATTATTTAGCGCAAATTTGTGCACAGTTGTTGTCTCTCCCACACACACACACACACACACACACAAGGACACACTCACACGCACACATTAGATATGTTATCATTACTATATAGCACACCCGCCCCCCTTCAGTTCATCTCTCACTCGCAGGATAATGAGAATTTAAATCGCAATAAAGTGGCGTTGCAGAATAAGAAAAAAAAGAAGGAGCGTAGTAACAAGCTAAAATAAATGTTTAGTTGAATTCTGGGCTGAGCTGGGTGGTTGGTTGGTTGGTTGGTTGGATTAAAAGATACCCCCTGCCCCCCTTCCCCACTCTGCCGAAAAGGGGCAAATATCCAATGGTGAGAAGGATAAGAGGGAGGGGAGTGCGGGGCTTGTCAGTGGCAGACAGTGAAAGTGTTGCCGACTTAGGGACCGTCTGCATCCGAAGTATCTGCGAGTATCTGTATCTATATATCTATATCTAAAGCAACAGATGCGGTCAGTTAGATAGAAACTGAAAAGCTAATTAATGTTTGCCTAGTTTGGACTTACCACGTTACGAATTCAAGTTTACAAAATGTTTCTTTTTTGTAAATTTGAAAGTGGAAAAAAGTTTTTTTAACATTTTCCTTTGACATTTTGATGATTTCTTCCTAACTTACCCTAACTATATTAAAAAGCCCAACTAGTAGTTACTAAATTTGTGGCCACCACTGTAACGCCACTTCGCCTGCACAACATCCATTGCGTGTTTGTGTTTGTTCGCCTGTGCGTGCGTTAATAAAATGTAATTTTGAAGCGTATTTAAGGCGAACCCCCCCCTCGTACGCACCAAGCATCGCATCCGGCAGAGTCGTCGTCCTGGCCAAAAACGTTGTCCTCCGTCTCCGTTCCCGTAGTCGTCGCAGTCCTCGTAGTTGCCACCGAAGTCATAGAGCCGTCGCTTCTGTCTCGACTAAGTAGATTATGAATCACCCGAAGGGATATTCCCGCAAGCAGTTTCTCGCTCAAAGGGTTGGGGGGGCCTTCAGAAATCACAAGTTGATCTTTCTCAGGGATATTAACGCCTTGTTGGGCACTGGGAAAAGGTAATCCGATAGCATTTTCCAGGGGGTACTTAAAATTAGCGTTTGCGTTAGCGTTTAAGATGAAAATGAAAGGATCAGTTCTGATTAGGAAGATAGGTTTGATAGGTTTCTTTGGCTGATAAAGAAATTTCGCATTTTCACATTACAAAAAAAACTTTATGAAATACATTTTTTAAACATTTTCAAATCTATTTTCAAATTTCCTAATCGGTTGTGGCTATTTCCTGGAATTGACAGCGACAATGGTTGAAGGACATGGGGCTGACTGAATCCTTGCTCGACAGACGGAGCAACGGAGCCTGGGGCACAGACACACATAAATGCTTATTAGCATTAGCAGGGCATTATGAGCATTCGAAGAAGAACACACGCACACGCACACGCACAAGCCCACACACTCACTCACGCCTTTTTCATATATGGTGAGGGAATCCCCCTAACATAACCTCTCCCGCCCAGGTATCGGGGTTGAGCTGGCATTTGGCATTTGGCATTTGGCATTTGCCACCACCACCACCACCACCGCTAGCCATTGTTGTTTGGGGAATATTGTCAGGCGACTTGTGTGTTTGCCAGCTCGCAATGTTGCACGGTTTTGAATTTTGCATTCCACATCCTGGCATTGAACATCCTGCATCCTGCTAGTCAGTCAGTCAGTCAGCCAGTCAGCCAGCCAGAATCTAGCATTTCGCATCCCAACTGGATACGCGTCCCAAACGGCGGTATTGAGCTGCAATTAGAGCCTGAGTGACAGCCGCCATGCTAATCAGCTTCTTTCTTTCTGTGGCTCCAAAGTCGTAGAATGAATGCCTGGCCATGGCTTACAGATCAAAAAATCCCAAAATTTGCTTTGTTTGAGGAAATCCCATCCTCTATAGATCTTTAGTTTTCTAAGCCAGAATCTAATAGTGGCTGATTTTCTGTCTTTCGTTGTGATTTTCCCTTTCCTTTCTATCATCTCATTAATGCAGTTTTATGCTTATAAACTTCCCTTTTATTCCAACTGTACCTTATTCGCTGGCCTTTTGTTGCAACTGTACTTGAATGGCAAATGGAAATTTTGTAGTTGCCATCTTGGCTCGTCGTCAAATTGCTGTAGCCAGATATTAACCAGTTACTGTGTCTTCCACTCAGCACTTTCCTTTTACGCTTTTTTCACTCTACTTTCTTTTTTTTTTTTCTTACTTTTTTTTTTATTAACCCCTCCGCTGATTTCGTCACGCGCAACCGGAAATTACTTTTCAGTTTTTTTGTTGCCATTTTTTTGCTGCACCACTACTAGGAGGAGTAGTCGTCGTAGGTCGTCGTCGTAGTAGTAGTTCACACTTGGCAGATGCGACTTCTCCGGCAGGAGGTGACATCCTGCATCCACCCTCCACTTTTCGCTGCAGTTCCTACTTTTTTCTTTGTTTTTTTCTATCGATAACAAAAGGAAGCCTTATTAGAGTGTTCCTTTATTTGAATGCCACATTTCACGCCATGTGAGGGGATTTTCATGGGTGTGGGGTGAGGGGTGTTGGGATGGGTTGGTGATGGAGTCTCTGGCATCTATTGTGAGAGAGTTAGTCTTTTTTTTCTTTTCAGCTAGCTAGCAGGGACTCCCCAGGATCTTTTCCTCTGATCCGTCCCACACCCCTATGAACCCCTTTTGGAACCTCGACAAGTTGCCATTGTCAGCCATTGTGGGGGGTCCTTTGTTTTAGCTTGGGCTTTGTCAGCTGGGCCAGAGCTCCTTCAGCTGGCTGTTAAACCTCCTTCCTCGCAAGCAGCCACCAGCCCACTTTTCCTGGGGTTTGCTGCATTTTCTTTCGGCCGCCATCAGTGGCAACTTTTCATTAACCAAAAAAGAGCTGCCGTGGATAGTTGGTGGTTAGAGGCACACCGAAGATGCCGTCGTCATATGGATGGGAGCTTATGGGGATGGGAGCTTGGTTTAGTAGCTAGGTTTTAGTTAGAGTTCTTAACTATTTTAACTAACTTTAATCTCGGAATTGGTTATTATTTGGTTATTTTCTTAACAGAAAGATAAAGCTTGACAGTTACAGATTACAGATCGCTTAGTTGACTTATTTAACTTAAAAAGCATTCATAGTTCATCATTAAAAGAGTAGTTTAGTTTTTCCCCGTTCCCCGTTCATGCCTTCTATTTAACCAAATAGTAAACTAAAGCTGAGAAAATACCTTGTATAGCCGCTTAACGGCAACTTGTGATCAGATTCAGATTGAGATTGAGATTGAGATTCCATCATCATTGAGTGCCTGAACGTGTCCACTTAAAATGCCAAAATTAAACCGAATAAGCACCGATAAACACGGTCGAGAATATTTGGGCCAAAGCCCTGAACTTTTGTGTGTGTTTTTTTTTTTTTTTTTTTTGGAGGCGGGCAATAGAGCAACAGACATCGTCTGGCCGGAAAACTCGGAAAAGCCGGCTAAGAAAAGTGATGAGAATGAAGAGGTGGGAGGTGGTAGGAGGCCGCGACGGCGGCGGCACAGAAACGCGGAGATGGATGGAATGTGTGAGGGACATCAACTAATTGAAATTGCGCGCCAATTTTGTGGCTTAGCCTGAGTCAGTTGGCCCTAGATGATGATGAGTCGTCGTCGTTGTCGTCGTTGTTGTCGTCTTTTGCCCAAGTGACATGCGCAGAGATACAACGATGTTCACAAAAAGCCCGACCTAGCATCGTGCCTCTAAAGACTAAAGTACGAACCGAACTAAAAAGGCGAACTTCGTGCGTTGTCGTGGGTCGTGGATATACAAGCTCGGAACGGGGAGGAAATGTGTGTGTGTTTGCGTGTGTGTGTGTGAATTCATTCGCTTGGCCAAAAAATATCGGCGAGTGCAGTTAACGTCGGTATTTGCAGGGTCTCGCATCGTCGGCGGTTGCCAGTTGTCGAGCAGAGGTCCAACGGTGCGTATGCGTATTTATTTTCGAACGGTTCGACGGTGCGTATACGTGTTATTTGACCCAAAGAAGTGAAATCCCGTAGCGTAACTTTAGAGAATGGTGTAGTAGTAGTAGCAACCGTCATCATCATCCGTCGTCGTCGTCCTCGTCGTTGTCGTTGCCGCTATCGCTATCGCCGTGTTTCCGTGTCCTCCTCCTGTTTGTTGTGAGTCGTCTTTTTCGCGCGTTTCGTTCTGTTATTGTTGTTGTTTTTTTTTTGGGTTTTTCTTCTGAGCCCACCGGTTAACCAAATTGTAACCAATCCATTGCGCTACTTGTCCAATTTTTTTTGCTATTTTTGTTGTTTGTTTTGGGTTCGATTTGTAAGAAAGAAAAAATAAAGAGAAAAGAAGAGAAGAATGAAAATCAACAAATAACCAAGGCAAAAAAAAAATAAAAGACCCAAAGTGAAAAGAGTGTGTGTGTGTGGTGCTGTAGAGTGTAAGAGTCGCTGTGTGCGTGTGTGTGTTTGCGATGTCGGTTTTCGGTTACACCATTGATGAATGGCAAACAAATTGAACGGCAATGGCCGGTAAATAATATTACAAATAATACGAGAAAAACGAGAAGTAAAAACAAAAAGAAGAAGAACCCACTCGCCGCAAGCCAAAATCAAAGCAAAACACACACTCACGAGTCGTTCGTTTCGGCCAGGTAAGAAAAGCTACCAAAAAATTGGGAAAAACGATCTCAAATTTCTGCCCCTTAAGGGTCAAGATCAGTTACGGTTTATGACTTCTTTTTTGGGTTATTTAAATTGTAATTCGAGAAAGGGGGCTGGGGGAAAGTCAGACATTTAGCGCCTGCGGGCAAAAGGGGGATAGATGAGTGCTTAAGTACATGGGTAGTAATGTGGTTTTAACATAGAACCAAAAAATATATCTGCATCATTAGTCAGTGTGATTGTGATTTGTTAGGCTAATGGGGAAATTCAATAGCTTTTACATTTTCATTAAAATCGTCGAGTTCATTGGGGTTTTGTGTGTGGCCAATTACTGAGATAAAGCATGTTCGATGAGTTGAGTGTGGTTGAGAGAGAGTTATCGATTCTTGGTTATTGGGCAATTAACAATGGCTGTTGGTCATTGAAAGAGGCCTAAAGGGGCATCATTGTGGCTTAAATACAATATTTTATCTATTTGAGTTGAAAGTTTGAAGGTGTCGTAATTTTTAAACGATTAATAGCTATCGATTGTTGTCTATCGAAAGGTATTGAGTAATTGGCTAAAATAGAGCAATGTTTCTGTGAATTTGGTTTATTATAAGTTTTTGAACATTTTCCTTGAAATCGATTATCAGAAATGAGTTATCGATAGGTTATTTTTGTTTCTTATTCTTAGAGCAGTGATTTCTAACATTTAGGAAACAGTTTTCTTAGCTTAAAAAAAAGAATATGTAAGGACTACACCGATTGCCGTTCCTAATCCTTAAAATGTTGATATATTTTCATTATCGAACTATCGATTATTTCGATAACAGCAGTTATTTGCAAATATTAAGTTCACTAACAGCATATTTAACATGTGTTTTTCTAATAACAAGCAATCATTATCGAAATATTGGTAGACGACTACCAACACATTTTGTTATGATCTCCATATTTACGAGTATGTTAGGCGCAACCCACGCGTTATTTTCTACCCCCCTTCCCCCCTCAGACTCTATTAAAACCCCCCGGGGATGCATTAACCGGGATCAAGCCATTCGGACAATTTTCAATGTACGGCGTAAACGAATCGAAAATTTGTTTGCCAAACGCTTTCACCCAGGGGTCTAATTCGATTTGGTCAACTGCAGCTAATAAGGTCAGAAGACCATGTGTGTGTGTGTGTGTGTGTGTATGTGTGTGCTAGTTTTTGGCCGGTAATATTTTGCATTTTACACAACGCCAGATTTATGGACGACTCCTATCTCTCTCTCTCTGTTTCTCCCTCTGTTGGCCATCAGATTCATCATCATGGTCATTGGTTGATGGGGATTCAGGCGAATCGAATGCCGTTAATAATGGAAACCCGGCCTGGGGGGCAAATGAATTTCATAATAATTAAATTAAAATCTGTTTATTTATGCACTTAAGCCGCAGCAGCAGCAGCATCAGCAGCACAAAAATAGCAATAATAATAATAAACACTAGTAATAATAATAATAAGGCAGGCGGAGTGGGGCGGTGCAGGTCGGTCTTACATCCATTTTGCGCCCAGTCCGAACCGTCGGGGTGGTCAGTCATTCGAATGAAATATCTAGATTAAATATTATTTATAATTAAAGCAAACAAGCCTTGTTTCCACATTATCCCAGCAAAAAGGCTACCGAATTTCCCAGCAGTAATTAAAACAAAACAAAAATATGTGCATAAACATGCCTAGGAAAATTCTATATAAATATATATATATATGCAGATATACAGATATATATATACAGATTTATATATATATTTAAATCAATATTGCGGCCAAAAACCAAAATGGCAGGCAAAACACTTTCGCAAGTTGAAGGAAAACTAATTTGAAATTGAAATAAGTCCTGATCTCGTTTGTGTGTGGAATTTGCTGAAGCAGCAGCAGCTGCAACTGCAATTGCAATTGCAATTGAGATTCAAATTTCATATTTACCTCTCGCCTTCTTCCGTAATCCCTCAATTAGCCTGGGAAATAAAGAGATTGCCAGTTGGGTGAGTGAGTGGGTTGAATGGGTTTCCCTTACTCTACGTTTAAAGAGGCAGCAAAATGAAAATTAAATATTTATAACCGGCCAACTATCGTGAGGTCACTACTGAGGAGACCAACTCAACCAACTCACGACCAAAAACTGAAGCTCTCAATGTATTGACAAGTCCAATGTGAGAGCAGCAGGGAAGCAATTTCTGGAGGGGATTTTGGCTTCTTGGCTTCCCTTTGACAGAGCCATATCAAGTTCCTTAGTAAAATGCTTGACAAAAAGGTTGGCAATGGAAGACAAAAGACAATGCCAGTGCTTCCTGCTTTTCCCCCTCCGAAGCTCATTTTGTTTATTTATTTATAATTTTGCATTATTTTTTTGTAATTTTGCATTTTAGGGTTTCACTAAAGTAGATGACCAGCTTTTCTTCAAAACTTTTTTCTTTTATTAGGATATTCTCTTTCTCTTTCGAATTAGTTGAAATTTTGATGTTGGTTTTTTTTGGCTTTCTGATTTCTGATATTTCAGTTTTTTCTCAGATTTTAGTTTGATTTTTGTTAATTTTTTTCGTGTTTTTTTGTGGCCATCAATTATATGCATTTTCTTCTTCTCCTATCTAACGATTTATTTTACTAGGAAAATGTTTAATTTCCCATTATAGGGACAAAAATTAAGGATGCAATGAAATTTAAGTCACATTTGCATTTGCCAGCCAGCTCTAGCTGCTGATATTTTTTTTCAACATTTGCATTTAATCCATAAAAGTATTTATGCATTTTTATCTTTGTTTCTTTTTTTTTTTGGGGTTTTTACTTTCCGATTGTTGCAAAATTTTAAATGCTTTTTATGCGGTTTTTCATGTTACTTGTAGTTGGCTTTTTGTTATCAAATAAATTGCTTATAAAGTCGTCGATTGGTTTGCTAATTTTCATTTTCAACCAATTACCAAAAATATTTTGTCTTGCCTTTGGTTTTTGTTGTTGTAAACTTAATGCAGAAATTTTAGCGACTTTTTGAATTAACTTTTTGTGTCATTTAAAATTTTGCTTCTTTTTGCAGATTTCTTTGATATTTTAATTGCAGTTTTTGGCTTTAGTTTTATAGTGACTTTTGACTGCTCTCTTTGTCTTTTCTAATATTTTTTCTAATTAAATTTAATTCGTTTTACTCTGTTTTTGACATGTATGTACCTAGGAAAAAGTTGAACTTTTCTTTAGATTAATGAAGCATGTTTTTTCAACTTTTTTTCATTTCAAGAAAATAATTTTTAAAAAGATTTCTTTAAAGTTAAAAAATATATTGAGAAACTTCTATAATGAGACATTCAAACATCTTTCCTCTTTGGTGCTTTATCTGCAAATGTAAGAGTTCTGGCCCAGCTGAATGTTGCAACATTTGATGTTGCTGTTGCTGCCTTTTTACATCTTTACATGCCAGAAGTTGCTGCCGTCGATGTTGCAAATAGCCGGCGAATGTTTCTCATAGCTTTGGGGTGCTACTTTTTAGCTAGTTTCGCTTGGTTAGGGGCTTTGGTTAGGGGCTTGGTTGGGGAACTACTTGGAACATTCCAAGCTCCAAGCTCGAGGTGATGAATGAAATTGAGAATCCAGGCATTGGAATGTCCAGCATTTAGCATAAGGATTTCTCTAATGGAAATGGATGTCTTGATCGTCTATTGGAGTTTTCTTCTTGTACAAGGAAAATGCATTCCCTAAGAAAACGCATCACTTTCTTTTTGTGTTTCTTACCCAGTTTGTTGTGAGTAATGGAAATTAAGCCATCGACTGCAATTAACCTTGTAATCGATGCTCAATTTCGATTCGCTTAAAATTTACATACAGGGCTTGAAGGGTAAAATGGGATTAGGTAAGGAGTCGACCGACCGCCTGCTGATTTTATGGCCATGGAATGCCAAATGATGTACATATATCGATATGAATGTGAGCATGCATATGTATGTATGTGTGGACATTTCTGGTGAAGAAGCAAGAGAACGGATTGAACGGATTGGGCATGGGTTATGGGGTAATGGGTAATGGGTTATGGGTTATGGGTTATAGGCAATGGGCTAATGGACGGGATCAACAGACCACAAGTGGGCGGATACTAATTGATGGTTTCGAGATGCTAGTTATCCGTTTCGGTTCATTGGTTAATTGCAGATAAAATCCGTAATGCGAATTTGAATTTCTGACAAATTGCGGTGAGATGTATGGCACATTGTACATGGGGAAAACTGAAAACCTTGCAGCTAAATGAATGTTAATTGTTAATTGTTTTCAATCAAAGGCTTAACTCTCTTGGATAGAGACCAACCATATCATAGTTGAGATGCTAAATGGTTAAAGGATTTCAAATTGAATAACAGGTAAAAGGGTTTAGCTTGATTAGTTAAGTTTTTGTAATCTCTTACCCTTCACTAACTTTAGATGACGATATTATTTAGATTACGGCAATGAGTTTTATGTTTTAATCTGTGATCATGAGACTTTTGACTTGCTTTTCTTCTTTTTTTGTTATATTTCAACTTTAACTTCTTCATCCAAAATGAGATGATTCATGATGAGAGAAAGAAGAGACGGGGGGCGAACACGTTCCTCATTTTACAGTGGACAACAGGACATTTGGGCATTCCGCTTTCGGTTGCCTCATTTTAATGGTGTCACGTTCGTCGCGAAACGGAAGACCCGAGGCGCTCGTTTGATAACTCAATTTCTACCAGGCCCGACGCCTCAAATTGAATTTAATATTAATTAACTAATTTCAGTGCTGACTTCACTTTTAATTAACTTGCCCACTGCCCCTGCTCGTCTTCGTTTAGTATCTAGTATATATATATCTCTCTCTCTATATATATATATATATCTTCATATAATATCTGTTGCCGACAATCTTGGAATCATCTTGGAAGCAACTGCGACGCTAATTTCATTTGATTTTGGCCAACATTTGAGGCAACCTGTCTATGTCCATGTCCATGGCCTTTCTCTCCTCTAAATTCTTTCTCCTTTGGGAATTCCCCTGCTCTTGTCCTGCTGCTTTCTCCAATGGAATGGAGAAAGGAGAAAGGAGAAATGACTGCCCTGGCGAATCTCTCAGGTATGGCTACGTTGACTTCACGTAAATACACGTGCCATCGCCTCGCTGGCCACCAAGGAATATTATCCACTCATACAAGCACACACACACACACACACACACACACATACACACACGTACACGGAAAGAAATGTTAAGAAAGTTTTTAGAAAATATTCTTAAATTTTGTTATTATTTTTATTTACATTTTGCATATCAGTTTGATGATTTTTAAACAGTTTTTATTGTAGATTTTCTGGTTAAGATAAATATATATTTGGTTTAGGAATATATCTAGAAAAAGGTTATAGAAGATTACCTATGGGTTACCCCGCCAAAGATGCCCTTCCTTGGCTTAAGAAATCCCCGGCAAAGTACTAAAAGATATATCTTTGCCTTATCAATCATATTATCATAAGTAAGGGGTTGAGTCACAATCTAAACTTTAATTTCTAAAGAAAATCCATAACAGAGTTGATCTCTTACATTTCTCTCAGTGTACGACAAACGGCAAGCGATCACACAGATACATACGTATGTATACATCGATGTGCAACGTGTTTTTCCGGCTTAATACCTTTCTCAACTGAATGCGAATGGAAATAACGGTAAATGTACATATACCCAGAAAATTTTACGAAGCGGAGAAAGCAAACGGAAAAAAAAAGGAAAAGGGAAAAGCCATCCCTGTTTCACAGTGAAAGGCGAGTGTGAGTGTGAGTGTGTTGCAGTCGAGCACGCGCCGCTTTTACGTTACGGTCGTGACGGGCAAAAAAAAAAAAAGAAACAAGAAAAGAAAGTAGGGAAAGGGGGGAGGGATGGGTGGAAACGGTGCGAAAAGCATCAGCCAGACAGTTGGCGGAGTTTTCAGTCAGAAGCAGTTTTAGGGATATCAAGGCAGTTACACCCCGCCGCCAACATTTGGCCAACAAAACAGGAGTAGCAGGAGCAGCAGTGGCAGCAGCAGTAGATAAAAACAAAACAAAAAAAGAAATCCCCAAAATTTCCTTTGTCATGTGTGCAGCAATAGAATTTTCAGAAAGGTGAAAGGGGGAGGGGAAATCTGGATCTGTGCGCGCCCGGAGAGCTGTAACCCAAGCCAGCGATATTGACAGCCAGCCAGCCAGCCAGCCAGTGGCTCTCAAAAAGATTTCCCAAAGCATTCAATGACTGACATGATGTTGCCTAAGTGTGCCAAGCACAACTGTACTACTGGCATTATCGAAGCCAATGCACTCGTAGGGTAATTTATCGATAGCTATAACACTAGAATTATCGATTTGTGTGCTTCATTTGGAATGTCAGCTAATTTGATGGGTTGTTGTGCTGCCACATGAAATGAAAGTCCTTCCGATATTTCGATTGATCAGTGATTTTTATTTTTGTGTTGACAATATAAGCATGTAGACAGTCGTTTCTTTTATACAGCGACCAATGCAAACTTCGCGTCCGGCGGGACGGGTACCATCAGTGCTTCCCACGTATAGTGTTTATCCCTTTGCTGCGATTTAGATTTCGAATAAGTTTATGGTATAATGATGGGAGGAGAATGGGGGAAAACCTACTTATCAAGCCGCACATCGATTGCCATCGTCATTGCCATTGCCATCAGCCATTAGCCATCGATTGGCAATGGCAAGAGTGTATTAGTGGATGATGTCTAGAAGGAAGAACTAAATTACTTTCCGATCACTTTCACTTTCAAACCTCTCGGCTTACATTACATCCCATCTAAGACTCTCGAGGTACGAGGTTCTGTTGTGTTCCCGAACGAAACCGCATGTTGAAGAGTCTAGAAAGCAAACGAAATTTTCACATATTCTTCACTTGACTTTACCTACAAAGGTTACCTCTGTTGTTTCACTTTAAATTTTGAATTTATAACTTTACTTAATTTGAATTCCGAAAGGGTGTTCTGCTGCAGTCAAGCTGTTTTACCAGACTGAATGTTTTCCGGCTGGGTCTAGGCTATATGCTTTTGACATTAGCATTTGCTCGATGACACTAGATCCGAGGGTGATGTGATTTGGAATTCTCAATCAGATCACTTAGGCCATGCAGTTTTGGTTGAGAAAAGCAAAACTTTTGACTGCTTCGACTTAGTTCGAAATTGTATCCCAACAGAGAGAAAAATCAAAGTCGCTTCAGTATAGCCGATTAAAGTTGTAGTTTTGATAGGCTAGAGAGATGGCTAGCATTACCTTCAAGAATCGTCCCACCCAGGTGTTGCACACCTACCAAGTCTGGCGCATTGGCAGCAATGTGGACGACAAGACTCTTGATTACTGTCTACAGGATAAGGTGGGTTTATCTCACTTCATATCAAAATTATATCAGTAACCACTCCTAACCAATCTCCCAGTCTGTGGACAAGTTTCATGCCAGCTTGACCCGTGGCGAGAAGGGTTTGTTTCTGGTCAACGAGAGTCGCCACGGAAGTGTGGCCGTGAATGGGAGACGAATCGGCGGACCGGTCCTCATCACCTATCGGGATGCCATCAATGGGATTGTCAGGCTCCGTTTTGGCCAAGTCGAGGGCTATCTTCGGGTATCGGGAAGCATTACTGGCTAACAAGGATACTTCGCCCTTTGGATAGATGGTTTTCTCAAATCGTTCGTTTATCTTTTTTTACTGCATGTACGTTTGCACGAATAAACCAAGGACAATGTATGTAGCATATTGCATTGTCAAGGATAATGCATAAAATGTCGAATTTGTAGGATCTTAAGGGGAGTAAATGGGCAAGTAGCAAACCTAAATCGGAATCAAGAGTTATAGTTTCGTGCAATTAGTTCTAATTAAAGGTATCCTAATTGACAAGTTGTAATTGAAAGCCAAAGCAAATATACCTTTGAATACCCAAATAAACAGAGCCAGAGCCAGAGCCCAGAGCTTGGTGAGATTTCTCTAAAACGGAAAGCAATATATGCAATATGCTGGCCATATAAATTGGCTGCAAATTTGCGTTAATTGTCTGTAATCGCTTTCATTGTCTATGCAAACATGGAAAGGAGGTTTTCACTTTAAGATTCCAACTATGGATTCTATGTAAAGTCGTCCCCATTGTTTATTCGAATTGGGGCAATAATGGTTCCTGGTTTATTTACATTCAAAATGAAACTTAATTCTGCACTTGAATTATTCAAGTTTTGTACATAAATGAAGATGTGCGAGAGTGCTAATAATGTGATTCTCTCTCTGTCAGTTTGTATTTTCTGTTTAATTTTAGGTTTTCTGTTCAATTTGGTAGATTTATTTTTGGAATTTTACTTTATAAAGTATTTAGGAGATATAGTTTGTTAGATATTCTCACTGATTACCTCTTGCAAACTATCGATGGCCGATTATTGGTGAAGGATATATTATATATATTTTCCTAGCATCTGCCCAAATAAATAGACTATAGTTTTTGTTTATTTATTTTCATTTCTATTTTCTCTTTGCACATCCTCCTCCTCCTTGTTGTTGTCATCCCTTTTCCCCGCTCTTTTCTTTCCTTTTTCGCTTTAGTTTTCGCCCCCTTTTTTTTGTTATTGTTTTTGTTGTTGCCTTTCTTTTGTTGCCTTTGCTGCTTGCTGTCTCACTTCGTTTCGCTTTGTGGCGGAATTTTTGTTTATTTTCTGTTGCTCCGCTTTTGATGTCTCTTCAGTGTGTCAGTGTGCTAGACAGACAGACAGCACACATGGATTCTACATACAGATATATGTATCCTATATCTTTATCTACATATATATGTAGCAGCATATATGCAGCTATATATACACCTCTGTTCCCTGTGCCCGTTACAGTTTAATATTGATATTGGCAAAAGAGCTTTGGTTTTCTGTTTTATTTGCCTGATAATTTGCGAGGTATTTCGGGGTATTTTGGTACCTTAATCGGTTAACTAATGGTTTTTGGGAAAGGGTTAATAAATATTACTATTAAAAATGGCTTATTAAAATACGTGAAAAAAAAGGCATTTTAACTTTTATATTTGCAAAATTATTACAAATTTATTACAAATTTGTAGCATACATTTCAGCGCAAATAGAACATATCAATCCGCCAGCCGTTTCGCCCGCGCTGACATCGTCGTAATGCAAAAAAAAACTGAGAAGAAATGAAAAAAATTACTCTCTCACTTGGTGTGTTGTTTAGTGTGGAATTTCCACGGAAATCGCGTGCCAGAAAACGCTAAAAATGTTTGCCGCTGTTTTTGTTGCTTATTTCCGTTTGCGTTTATGTTTAACTTAAATTCCCTTTAACCGGCCTCAACATCCGCTGCCCCTTTTGCATTTCCCATTTCCGATTTGCCATTCGCCATTCACCATTTGCCATTTCATTTGCCGTTTCATTTCCACCTTTCCACATTTCCAACTTTTACGCAATGAGAATTTTTACGCTGTTGCTTTGGGCTTTTCCCCCCCTTATTTTATTGTTTTTCCTGTTTTCTTTTTTTGTTGTTTTTGGTTTTTTGTTGGCTTTACTTAACTGATTATTTGTGTATTTGCACTATCACGTAACGCGGCAAATGAAGTCGTAAAACGTCGGTTCACTCTTTAGCGCTTTATCCGTAATCCCTGCCGCCGCTGGTATTTTTTCAACCCCCCCTCTCGATTTTTCTGCCTCTTTCACCACCCTTTACGGATTTTGATTTGGTCCGGAAAACAAGTGGAAATCAATTCAATTTGAATTATAATTACACACTCTAGTTATGGTGGTGGCAGTGTGATTGGTTTTTGCTTACACTTTAGGTTTTTCCGTGTACAAAAATGTTAAAATATTATGAAATTTAGAGAAGAAGATTACTTGAATAATATCAAATCGGTTTAAGTTTAGGCTTTAGACTTTAAAGATTAAGTTTGGTAATAACTTAATGAGTGTAACATTACTCTCATCTCTTTTTATGTTTGCTGAAAATCCAAGAGCAGTGGAAAACATAATGCCTTGGTGAAAATTTTACAGTTGTCAACCATCCCAACCGATGGCTGTTCTGGCATTAAGCTGCCTTGCATAAATCAAATGAAAAACAAAAAGCTAAAACTGAGAAAAGTAAGGTTGTGGAAATGCAAGAAAATTAAAACAAAAAAACAAAAGGAAAAGTAACAAATGAGTGGGAGTGGGGGAGGGGGGGTGAGTGAAAACTTTTGCCTAAAAGAAAATTCATTAAAAAATCATATCAATTAATTTTTGTGGTGACCTGTCAAAGTATTTTCAAGCGTGCCAATCACACACAAGCACACCCTCACACTCAAACACCCGCACACTCACACACACACACACACACACACACACACAAACACACACACACACATAGACTTTAAGGATTAATTGAAATTTATATACATATATATGGCGAGAGAGTCCTGGGGCAGTAAAAATATTGATGCGACTGCATTAAGGAGATTATTTCCTGTTGATTCAATGGATAGATGGATGAGAGAGGGTATATATGTATGTGTGTGTCTTTGTGTCTCTCTGTGTGTGTGTGTGCGTATGTGTATGATATTGATCCTGAGCCTTTAAAGCGCCTTAAGTCAGCACAAAGCAGCTCTGTTTAGGCCTTTGTAAGTCAGCTTAGCCGCAAAATGTGTGCACTGCGAGAAGGAGGAGGATACTTGACCCAAAACACACACACCAACACACATACACCAACACCAACACACATACACCAACACACACACATACATACATACATACTCAATCACCCAGACACCGAAATCTGACCAAAGTCCAGCCTCAAAGCCAAACGAAATGACCTGAAAACTCATCGGGGACTTGCCATCGGAGAGCACAGTTAACCGGAATGATAATGATAATGAGCATGATAGGGATGATGATGATGGGGTTTTGGCATCGTCATTATCATTATCATTATCATTATCTCATTGGCATTAACAAAAGGCTACCAACGTGTAGTGGTAGGTAGAGGGTGGGTAGGCTGTGCACATATGGCTTGAGCCTTGTCCTCCTGTCCTTTACTCCTTCTTCTTCTTTAGCTTTTTTGCCCCTCCCCCCATTACCATTGACGCCTACGACTGACTAAGCAGAATTAGTTACGGCTCATTATTGATTTTGGTTTACGAATCAAATGAGGCAACACTTCTGCCAGCCCGAAAAGTCGCAGGGAAAATTCCATTTAAGGGGCCAAGTGTGCCCCGAAGTCGTCTCAATGGGGCAAAAATAAATAAAGAAGAAAATGAAAATATAGAAGTATATATTAGAAGGGTGGAATTAGAAGGTGGAAAAGGTTAAGGTAAAGGCAAAGGGTAAGTCCTTTATTGATAGCTGTTTTATATTTTTTAAATATTTTTCAAGGGCAGTGAAATTGAAATAAACTGAAAGGTAAAAACTTTTAAAAGTTGAAAAAATCTAGTAAAATTAATAAGTAAAGCCAAGGGGGGCGCACAGGGCAGACATAATAAGTAAACATTAAAGAGAAAAATGAATCCTTTTGAGTGATTTTAATTAACACAGCCAGTGGAGACTTTAACTAGCTGGTAGTTAAAGAGGATTGCTAAGCGGTTATAAGGCTGTATATTTAATCTAGAGCATTTCAGGGAGAGCTATGAGAGCTATCTACGACTAGCCACTTGAATCTCATAAAATACAGTGTAAATGCAGCCCAAGTGAAAGTGTGTCCCCTTTGGATGGGTCAAAATCCACAGAACAACAATAACAACAGATCTACTGGTAAGGTGGTGGGGGGGAAGGGGGGATGTCATGGAAAGAGGAAAAGAGGAGGCGTGGTGTCGCCACAAGGCTATTAACAACAGTTTGCGCAAATGACACTGCAATAAAGTATAGCGAGAGGAAGGAGGAAAAAAACATTAAAAGGGAAACAGCAAGCATAAGGGGCAGGCAAGGCTAAGGAGATATAGCCACCCGATTTGCCCATTTATATAAACCCCCCCTTCTCATTCCTCCTCCCTCCTTTCGAATCCTCCTTCATCTCTCTTTACTCCTTGACCGCTGGTCAGGGAATGTCTTATGCACAGATTTATTATGTGGCCATAAATAAATTACAGGACCAACACACTCACAAACACACAGACAGTTTTCCCAGGGAAAAGTGGAAGAAGAGGGAAGAGGTGGGGGGGGGGCGGGATGGAGCTTGAAGAGGTTCAGTTGGAAAATGGCAATGCAAAAGGGGAAGGGGGTAAGGGGTATTTGGCGATTTATATGATAAGGGTTAAAGGGTTGTCCGACGACAGGGTAACGTCATCCAACGTCCAACGTCCAACGCCCTCTCTCTGAAATGCTTAAATTAAAATGCATAGAAAATGTTAAATGATCTAATTAGTGAAATATTTTCACCATAATTAAGCAGAGGCGGCAAGGAAAAAAAGGGGAGAGAAAATTATATATGTATGTAGGTAGGGGAAGAATTTTCCTTTTAGCCCAGAATATACAAATTAATCGCCTTCAAAGCAATGTGTGCCGCCAGGAATGTTGAGAATTTTACATTTTTCATTAAAAAAATAAAAAAATAGAAAGAAAGAAAAGAAAATTAACGAAGGAAACACCCAGAGAGATGAGTTATTTCCCAAAGGGTGGCAAAGCAAACTGAAAAGGAAAATTGGGTTAAGTTTAACAATGGAAAATTTATAAATTTATAAAATATCATTAGGAAACTAGCAAAAGGCTTGTCTTGTTGTTGTTTGATTTGACAATTTGGTTAAGTTTATAAAAAGGAAAACTATTTCTGTTCGATTAATTGTCATCATCGTAAGTGGCATAATTAGTTTGACATTCGAATTGGTTTGTATGACAAAGTTGGGTAATTAAGCCAATTTAGATCTAAAAATAAATGTCTTTCTATGGAAATTAATTTGTATTTCTAGGAGTTGGGGAAAAATTCATTAAGTTAATGTTAGGTTTTATATTAAAAAAATTTGAGCAATGTTTTAGGGACTACTTTCTGATTGCCTTCGCTGATGATGATTATGACTATGACTTTATTACCTTTCGTTCCCAGTTTTTCATCTCCTCAACTTAAAGCTAAAAAACCTCTTCATCTGCTCAAAGATTTCCAAGATTAGTAAATCTCCCATATCAACATGACATTTCCTTTTGTCCATCAGGCAGGCACTTTAATCTCAAACTGGTCTGGTTCCCTTTCTTTCTTTTTTTTTGGCCAAGTCCGAGACTCTGAGCTGGAATAATTGCTCAAGACTCGTGAACTTAATTGAATCCACTGTGTGGCCAGCAGCCCCATCCGGCGGCTGCTCGTAGTACTCCCACTCGCATGTATGCTAGGTGCTGGGTGGCTCTTCAATTTGTGTTGAGAGAGAGGGTGAGAGAGGGGGGTGGAGAGGGGCTTTGGTTTTTGGGGTGGACCAGATTAGCTGGCGCTATCGACCGGCCTGCCATCCGGTGGCGAAATCCGTTCGCCTCTGACTGACAGGGGCTATCA